CCATAGTCATTGACCGTTACGACGTTGGAATGCTATCAGACATTGAGACCTGGGTCAGTGGCTAATTGGGATGTTCAAAAGCGGTTGTATTTACAGAACTTCTATATAAGCAAACCTGAACGTACTATTGTAGACCTCCATGATGTTAAGCAAAAGCATGCCGAAACCGGGGAGCAATATTTATTAAGGTTTAGGCAGATGAGAGCCACGATACCAGGAGAGTACCCAGAACAGACCATCATTACTATGGCCATAGCTGGGTTAACCAATTTTTGATTGAAGTTTGGATTGACAGGTAGAACTTTCCCGAACTTGAGTGAGTTGGCTGAAGCAATTTGTGAGTTAGACAAAGTCATTGCAGAAGAAGCTGAGAGCCGCAAAGCTCACGATAGACAGTGGTTTAATCCTACTAACCAGCCAGCCGTCAATGAATCAGGCTCAGTACTTTGGTTTAGATGAGGAGGATGAGTTTAAAGATATCAATGCGGCTGAGATAGGGAACATGAAAGGGTATAAATGTAGTGCCTTGAGGAAACCTAGCACTCCGCAAGCAGACGGTATACCACCAGAATCGGGAACAGTTGCTTGTGCAAAGCCACGTGCTGACCCTAATTATCTGGGTCAGACGTATTCATTTGATATTATTACCCAGCAAGAGGCAATCTTCGAAGACATGTTGAAAAATGGTCATGTAACTTATCAGAAGGGGCAAAAACAACCAAAACCCGCCGATATTGAAGGGAAAACTTATTGCAAATATCACATGTCTATGACCCACGGGACCAACGATTGTGTGGTTTTCCGGAACGCCATATAGGAAATGATTGACAATGGGGATATTCAGGTAGAAGAACCAGCTGCAGAAATGATGGAACCATTTTCGGTAAACCATGTAGTAGGGATGATAGACATAGACCCTCGAGCAGCTGCTTATGCGAGGCAGAGGATAAGCATAGGCTGCCAAGGCTGTGATCGAGTGGTGGATTCAATGAAAGAGGAAGTTTGCCACCTAGGAAGCATGAATGGTGGACATTTGAATTAACGAAAAATACATTCCTAGCAGATGGAAGAAAAGGTAACTATTGAAGTTGACGGGCAGTTATAGACTTGGGTCAGGAAACCACAAGTGCAAGAGTCACAGGAGAGTTACCAACAGAAAATAACAGCATCATTAACACAAGTTCTTCAGAATAGGTGCACGAAACATCCAGTACTGATAAATAACGATATTGATCAACATGCCGCCAGGTTAGGGTTGAGACAACCGATTCATAAGAGGCTAGGTCCACACATACCCCAAGGATTTCGGAAGGATAGATTTGAGCCAAGGACAATTAAAGATAGGTTGTTGTGGCCAGATCGTAGTCAAGGAGTTAGCTTTGGAAGATCCGCTCAACCATTTGTGCCGCATATGAGTGGTACAACAGTTAGGATGGTAAGACCCAGTCAGGTCTCTGACAACCTATGGCATAGAGTAGGACATCCCTGGTTTCCTACTCCGATGTCAGCAAGCAGTGGCATGACTCGGACTCAGCATCGAAGGTGTCAGCGCCAACGGGCAGGAAGATATTAGGATTCGAAGCAGAAGAGGAAGCTCGAGCAGTTACTTTATGGTACACCTAGTAAGCAAGCTCGAGTAACCAAGCAGTGGCGAGTCAAGGAGCAGGATAGTATGGATGTTAACATGGTATATGTACTCCCCAAGGAGTATGCTGCTAGATGAGCTATGGCGGAACTTTTGAAATTGAAGGTTGATGAGTCAGAAGAAACACCAACGCCAAAGGTTAGTCAACAGTCAAATGATTATAAAACTTTAAAGTGAGGGTTTTACTTTCTCTCTCTACTTCTGTGCTCTCGGCATACACTGGTATTGTATGCCTCCCATGGCGAGGCATCTTAGGAAGAAAAAAGGGAAGGCTCCGGTGAGGGAAGAGCAACAACCGATTGAGGAACTTGTTAGATTTGTGGAAGGAAGCGCTAGTAAGACGGGTGATGGAGCACCGACGGCGAACAAAGGAACACCAACTAGGGTTCCGATGGGATCCACGGCAGCTTCAACATTTAAATTGGCTAATACTTTCTCCCCTATCAGTATGCATGAAATTGCTCTTGTGGAATTAAGTAATTTGAAAATTATTGATGGAGGAGAAAATAAGGAAAAGGATAGAATAGCTGTTGGGGATTCAGGTCGGGTTGAGAAGAACTCTGGGCTTAAGAATTGGACTGATTTTAACGCAAAAAAGTTGTTCTTAGAGGAACAGAAGCTCAGTTTCATAGAGCCAAGGGTTATTGATAATCAGAAAGTTTCTAGAGTTGATAAAATGGATGTCAAAACTGAATTGATTTACTAGAATACTTCTGTGGTGTTTTATGGTTTGGGGGCACACCCACCATACTTTGTAATGGATGGTTTTGTGAGAAGAAATTAGGGAAAACTAGGTATTGATAAGGTCCTGATGATGGAAAGTGGTATATTTGTGATTCGTTCCAAAAGTGGTGATGCTAAGGCAGAAATTCTTAGACATCTGTTTACCATTTTGACAAAAAACCTTTCATTGTTAAGGATTGGTCATTAAAGGAAGGAATAACAATGGAGGAAGTTACTCAGGTACTAGTTTGGATTAAGTTTCCGAAACTTAGTCTCAAGTATTGGAATGCAGGATCCCTAAGTAGGATTGCAAGTACAGTTGGGATGCCACTGAGGATGGATGAAAGTACAACATTGAAACAGAGAAACTCCTTTGCGAGAGTCCTTGTAGAGATGGAGATAGAGGAGTCCATGCCAAGAGAGTTGAAGTTTGAGAATGAATTTGGACAGTTAATCACCCAAGAAATACAGTATGAATGGTTACAGTAAAGTGTGCAAACTGCAATGGTTTTGGTCATGAAAAGTTGGCTTGCAGGAAAACTCCTTTGATCAAGGAGAGAGTTGCTGTTCAAACTCTATGGATCAAAATCATGGTTTGCGTGCTGATGTGGGTGATCCAATTAATGATCCTGCTGGATACCATCGTCTTATAGGTCGCCTCATTTACCTCACCATCACTCGGCCTGATTTATCTTATCTAGTCCACATTTTAAGTCAATTCATGGCTTCTCGAAGAGTTCCTCATTTGCAAATGGCCCTTAAAGTGCTGAAATATGTGAAGGGCACAATCTCGCAAGGTCTTTTCTATCCTTCGGACTGTAATCTTAAGCTCACTGGTCCTACTACTCGTCGCTCAATTTCTGAACATTGCATGCTTCTTGGTGGTTCTTTAATTTCATGGAAAACTAAGAAACAACACACTGTTTCTCACTCTTCGGCCGAAGCTGAGTATCGATCAATGGCTCATGCTTGTTCTGAAATCACTTGGCTTAAAAATTTACTCCATGATTTGCAGGTGTTTGATATTGTCCCTGTTACTTTACATTGTGACAGTGAAGAAGCTTTACACATCTCCTCCAATCCCGTGTTTCATGAATGCACGAAACGCATTGAGATTGACTGCCATTTTATACGGGAAAAAATTCAGTTGGGACTTGTTCAGCCTTCCTATATTCTAACGATATTGCAAGCTGCTGATCTCCTTACTAAATCTCTCGGTTCTATCCAGTTGAAGTTCCTTTTATCCAAGGTAGGCGTTTGCAATCATTTGCAACATCCAACTTGAGGGAGGGTATTAGTCAGTTGTATATTTGATTTTGTTAATCTTATCTAGGTTGTTGTATAACTGTACGAGATAATAATTCTCCAATATATCAGAAAGTAGTTACAGTAGAACTTTTATAAGTATGCATATTGTCAATGTATAAATATGAATGAGAATTCCATCTTTTCAACTCCTTTTTATCTTCTAATAGATTTGGTGAAGTGTGAAATGTTGTGAGACTCCTAATTCTCGGATTAGATAATATACTTGCTACTTGCTAGTGTCTCCCCGCACCCCACTCCACCAAAACTAAGTAAAAAAGACAAATAGTTTCTTAAATATCCAACATGGTACTGAAAACAAACTCCGACTTGTTTGTAATTAATTAATTGGAGGAAAGAATCGATGAATTAATCATAAGATGTGCACGAATAATGTCACCAGCACTTAATTCATCTAGTCAATTCAGTTGAAATGTGCTTAGTTACCATTTAGTTAGTGCTAATATTAGCGAATAATAACACGTATCAGTTATCAATGGTTTAATTAATAACATACTGGCTGTAACACAAAACATTCATAGAAAATTCAGTTCCAACTTCCAAGAATGACATTTGCCTTCTGAATAAAAATCATCGAATTAAATTTACTCGGTACATTTTCCCTGAATTAAGTTTTACAAATGGGGCTACAGTATCTTGTTGTTCGGTTCAGCCAGGCCGCTTAACCCACTGATGACGAGTCCACATACATTACTCAATCTGAAAGTCCATGCCCCAGTTATTTAGCCCACAAAAATTGTATCCTGGGCTGCAGCCTGTTTTATAAAATGGCTTGTGTGGAGAACTATTTCATCGTCGCAATAAAATCTCCAAACAATGCAAGACGCAAAGCCTATATATTTAATTATGCTAGGGAAATAGCCTAAATTGAATGATTGTATTATTATAAGAATACGTGAAGTCATAAATTAATCACAGTTTACTTCACTTTTAACAAAGAGTACTTTACATATATATTGGGCGGTCCTAATCAAGTGATAATATGGATTTATGAGAATTTCGACCCAGTTTAACAAGTTTATGAAAAGTACTACCATTTGCTTGTTTTAATCGGACAATTTCAAGATAACTTATTAAATAACAGTTATTTTAAAACATAGATAACAATGGGATATTAGATTACAAGAGTTTGACATCATTTCTGTTCTCCCGCCACTGCAGGGTAAACTCCTAACTACTAAGTTCACTTTGGGCGGATCTTGATGAATGACAATCCGAATATTATTCTCAGAATCACCAATAGTTAAGGTAATGGATTCAGATATCGGACCCAAAAAAGAATGGTTTTATGATAATTGTGCATTCAGTTAGTAACATGGATATACATATTGGATCAACGGATAATTGTTGTGCTTGAACTTTCTGTTTATGTAAGCGAGTAATGTTATTTAACAACCATCAAATGCTCAATTTATTTATGGGTGTAACAATTTGGATCTACAAAAAGAGATGTTACATATGAAGTCTATGGAAATACTTACCATTAAATTATGCCGAAAACAATCTAATGGGTCAAACTAAAACAAGTGATTAATTTAACTTATAATCAACGAGAAATTTAAAATGCCAATCGCTTGTTACATATACTTTGAAACCAATGAAATGGTGACTTCTCCATCAGGATTTTGCAATGCTGCTGGAGGAATGGTGATCTGATTCTGTAACTTTATTTCTCATCACCATCGTCTTGAAGCTGCAAAGAAAAAACAACGCAAAGCAACGTAAATACAAAATTTTTAAAAGCAACTGGTACTGCTAAATTCAACACAGTAAATTTTTTTAATGGTAATTTCGGTTTAATTGGCCCCGAACCGAAAATCCGAATGCTTATTCGGCTTGGTTCGGTTCGGAGAGCATACACTTTGGTTCGGTTTTGGTCAAATGAAATGAAATTAAAAAAATCCATTAAGCCGAATCGAATTCACCCGAATCAAACCGAACCGATCGAATTAGCAGCCCTAACAGTAAGCGAAAGCTAGAAGTGATCAAACCCAGGGTTTAAATAGTTTAATTTTCTTTGAGTTCTCTAGATGAAGTCCCACCACTCGAATTCATCGGATTGATTAAAGTGGTAAATAGCTAGGTTGGTTCAAATAATTTTATTTTCTTTTTTTTTTCAAAATAATCTTCTTGCTTGTAATAATTGCTAAATGAGTTAAAATACTTCCTCCCTCCCATAATTATTGTCGAGTTTGGACTTTCATTTTTAGTTCAAATTCAGCTAAAAGTGAAATCTCAAACTGGACAATAGTTTTTGGACAGATGAAATATTACGTAGGAAAACTTTTCTTGTGGGTTTGAATTATCTATCATTCATAAAGATGTGGTCCAATTGTCAATATCACACGCCTAAGACCATGATATTGATTATTCATCCAACAGCAATTTCTCCTTTCTACTTCCTACACTTCAAAATACTTCCTTCTCTCTTAACTAATTGCTTGAACTTTACCTCAAAAAAAAAAAAAAAAGATACAAAACTAACTAATCGGATCTTAAATCTTAGGCCAAAAAGAAAGAAAAAAAAAAAAGTGGTTTTTTGTTGTTTTATGGAACACAGAAAAAGTAAAGACATCAAACAGAATGTTACAAAGAAAGGTAGAATAAAAATACCTGTTTTGGATATTGTCCATTTCTGATCATCATAGCTCATGGCCCAGAAAAAGTAACCACGAATCCCCAACCCCTGAGCAAAATCAATCCTCGCCGTCGTCGATCTGGCATCATCGTACCCAATCCAAGAAGTTCCAGCGACTGAGTAAGTCGACATGGTGGCCAAATCGAATCCAATCTTTGCATTATTCTTCCTGTTAAATTCCTCCACTTCGTAGAAGAGCAGAATCCCGGCATCCCCAGTTGAACCAGCGGGACCGAGCCCGACGGCGGGAGCACCGACGCCGCTGACATTTGGATCGGCCAAAGTCCAAGTCCGGCCATAAAGCGGCAAACCCATTACCAATTTGTTCCTCCAGATTCCGGCCTTGATCCATGAACGCAGACCGTAGCTTGTGCTGATGTTGCTCTTCGGGTCAAAGAGTGCGGATTGGGCGCCCGTGATCTTGGGTTCCCACGACCCGTGATAATCGTAGCACATGGCGTTGACCCAATCCAGATTCTTGTTGATCGATGCAACTGGGTAGGTTCTAACCGTGTCGGAGAGGAAAAAAGTGGCGGAAAAGTAAACGGCCGCCGACAGTAACAGCTGCGGGCGGCGCGTTTGTCTGCTTTCCTTAACAATTTCAGCTCGCCATTCGTCGAACAGAGTACCCAAATCGTTCATTTCTTTTGGGTTCTGTGGGAATTCCCAATCAAGATCGATCCCATCAAAACCGTACGTTCGGGCCACTTGTATGCTGGACAAGATGAAGCTCCGGCGAGATTCCGGCGTGGAGGCCATGTTTGCATACAGGGTCGAACCGCCGGCACCTCCGCCAACGGAAAACAGAGTCTTGAGCTGTGGTTTCTTTGCGTGTAAGACTGAGTTGAAGGATGAAAGAATCGGAGCTGTTGAGTTGTCGATTTCGAAGGCGAAAGTTGTGGGATTAGGTGAAAGGAAAGCGTAGTAGATATGTGTAAAGAAGCTTGAATCTATGGATGATGGTGGAAAAACAGAGCTTCTCCATGAAGGATAGTAAGCTCCCTTCATGGTTTTGGAAGGACAATCTGCTGCAGAAACACCATTGCTAATGCACAATAGCAACAGACAAGAAATGATCACAACTTTATGAGTTTCCATAGCAGCTAGCTTTTTTGAAGGATTGGAACTCTGTTTTTTCTGTAAATTTTCTATGTTTGTAATTGTGGGATTGCTAAGAGTATGAGGTGGGGATTTATAGATATGGAGACATTGTGAAATGGATGATAAGATGTTGAATTTTTTGATGTAAGACTGTTCCAGTTATGGTTGATTATTTGACGAAAGAACAGAATGATGAGCGTTGACTAAAATATGGTTTTGACATTTGATGAGTTGAGTAGTTTGTCTTGGTCAACTCTTCAACATGTGGCCGTCCTAAGTGACTTATTCAAAGTGATTTTGATAGATAGTGGTGGTACTGACATTAAAAAGTGTTCCACTTTTCCAAAATGGATCTCTAGATCAGTTTTGCACACAACAATTTGTTTTTTGCTACCTTAATGATGGAATCCATCTGTTGGGCAAAAATTAATGGACATCGTTTTCCTTTCCCCAATCGATTCATTGGCTGCACTACAATGATAGGGGATATTAAATTGGATTATTCTTCATGCCGAACTGTTTCAGTAATTTTCTAAAAAAAATTTCCCATAAAACTGGAGTATTTCTACTTAATTAACTACAACTACGATTTTATGTAACAAACTTTGAGAATGAAGACTAAACCATGTCCACGGTTCCAGAACCGGCAGTTTCGGTTCTGGAACCGGTGGTTCTAAACCCACTATGATGGGAACCGAAACCGAATCTTGAGACTATGGTTTCGGTTCTGGTTTTAGAACCGGAGGTTTCGGTTTGGTTGCGATTCAATTTCGGTTCTAATATGTAACGATTTCTTATTTGAGTTTTATGTTAAGTTTTGAAACCAAAAGTTTAGATTTCCATTCAAATTTTATTTGGTGGTTAGTTTTCATGCAATTTTATAAAGACTTTTATAATTTTAAATTATTAAGACACTTTTTTAAGTGAAATATCATATAGAATGTAAGAATTAAATTAAATTACAAATGTATAAAAAATCTTTTAAGAAACACTTGTTAACCCACAATGTAGTATCAATTACCAATGACACTATTTCTTATCTTTGGATCGACTTATTATTTTCATTAAAAATGATAATTAATCATTGTTTACATAATTAGACAAGAGATATGTGAAACACGTACATGTATTTACAATTTTTTATTTTTTTTATAAAATTAGTATTAAACAACGGTTTAGTACGATTAGAACTACCGGCTAGAACCGTCGGTTAGAACCGCCGGTTCTCGATTTTATAAACACTATAATCATAACCAAACCTTCATCATGTAGTTCAGTTATGGTTTTTAAAACCGTCAGTTACGGTTTTGGTTATGAAATCGTATCTGTCAGTTAGGTTTCGGTTAGAACCGGAACCGTGGACATGCCTAACTCAAAGGTAACATGCTTGTCGCCCTAAATGTGTCGGGTAGCTAGAGTTGGGAATCTGAACTCAAGATCTCATCTAATATGTCTCATCTAGTAAAAGATCCCTATATTTTGAAGACTGTTCATAGTTAGTTACAGCGACAAACTTCTTGAATTATGAATATCTCTATAAAAAAAAGCTAGTATGTAGCTGGTTAAAAGATTTAAAATTGTTGCATATACATGAAATGTCCCGAATCACCGACATCTAATAATTAATAAAGGGTTAGCATTGTACTATCTATTGGATTAACAAACGTATCCTTAATAATCTATTGAAAACTGCAAGTACATTCATATATCTGATAAACAGATTTGCGATAATTGAATCTTAGTAAATAAAATATATTGCCGGGAACATCATTGATACAATGATACTGTTGGGAAGATTGCAATCAACAAACCTACCCATTCAACTAATAGAGTAATCCACTGAAGAAATACGATAACCAAGAGAATCACCTTAGGAGCTTACCTAATTAATAATGACAAAAATTTAAAACTAATTTGAGGGGATAATACCAATTATTGAATCACAAAGAATAAAAACGACGGACGATTACCAAAATTACTTCACCCATTTTCTGATGGCTAGAAAATAGAGAAAAATAAGAAAAATTATTTTGACAGACGACTAGAAGAAAATATGTCGCCCATCTTCTCACTGTGATAATATGGAGAAAAAGATTTTTTTTGAAGTTAGGTTTGGGAGAGAGAAGAGAGGAGGCGGATAGGGTTATAAGAATTATATTTCCTAGGACGTAACCTCAATTACTCCTAATTAAGAAAGGAATTTAGATGACATAATTACATTCTAAAAAAATGCATTCTGTACTTGCATAATTCATCATCAATGATAATAAAATAAAATACTGGTAGTACGTGCAACTTCTTGTAGGACATTGGAAATAAAATCTGATTCAATTGATATTTCTAGAAAAAAAAAAAAAGAAATTGACTACATAAACGTCAATATGAATACAAAATCTTAGAGCAAAACGAGTCATACAAGATAAAAGGCTTCTGGATCAAGTTAAACTCAAATGTCAGGTTTCAGAGTAGTGTAGTTGATCCTTAACTTTTCAAAGAAGTAAAATGATTTAAATCTGATGATGTAGTGTGGATGATCATTACCTTTTCAAAGAAATAAAAAGATTCAAATCTTACTTCTGGAAGACATTAAAAAATTTGGCGTAGTGTTTTATCTACACTCGTATAATACCGTTGTTATGTTGTCAAAACTGAATCAATTTTTTATTTTGTTATTCAGTTGGAGGGATTATTATTAGTTTTTCAATTATATAATTCAATGTGTCACAATCAACATTGAGACAAAAGAACTAAACAATGAAGTTTTAGAAGCCTCGTAATAAAAAACATGTGTAGTAGGGATGGAGAACTAATCCCAAATAAGGTTTTGAAATGGACAGCAAACATATTCGCTCCAGGCGGTAAAAGTACTTAGTTTCAACTTAACGAGCATTCGAAATTTGATATGATCATATAAATATATGTAACAATAGTTAAAATATTTAAATATCAAAAAGGGTATACTTGTTTCAAATAAGGATTAATTTATTGAAGTATAAATATTGCTACTTTGAGTTAAGCTCTTGCGTTTACTTAAAATCACCTTACATTAATTTACCGCTTTTTTTTTTTTTTTTTGAAAAGCTCATGAAAAAGGATAACCACAATAAATAATTTGAAATGAAACTAACTTGGCGACTTTCAAATGTTTAATAATGCAAGTTGGCGGTATACAATAAAATAATCCGTTTGTTGTGGTCAATTTAGAGGCTTCCAAAATCCCGCCGCGAGATTGGGTAATCATCACTGCGTGTTGACTTACGTAAATAGAGTTGACCGTTTATGTTTTGCAACATTTTGAAATTTCCACCAAATGCTATAAATCTATGTAACAATAGTTGAAGGATACATTCAGGAAATATTCGATAAGAAAAAGTGAGAAAGAACTCCTTTTCTATCAAAAAAAAAAAAAAAGTGAGAAAGAAACATATAAATCAATTCACATCTATTTATTGGATTTATTCATTTTCATCTGTGCCGTAAAATAAAATGTCCCCATTTTGCTTTCGATTTCATTGTTTTTTAAGTTCAAAACTACCAGAATTGAGAAACATTGTGTACTTGCTAAGAATAATACTTGATGGGTTGAAATTAAACATCTGAAATTTATGATTAAATTTTTAAAATTTTTTTTTTAAATATATATAGGCTGTTGTCCACATTTGGCCTTTAAAACATAATAATTGAATTACAAACATAACTATATTAGCAAAAGGTTTTTTTTTAAATAAAAAAAAAAATCGTAGTTGGTCGGTTGCAGACTTGCAGCAGAAGTAATGGCTTTATGACGGAATCTTATTGTGTTTTGTGGTTAGTGCTACACCAATTAATTATGGCATATCCGTAGAATGAATGAATAACAACAGTTCCCGATTACGATAATTGGGGCATATATGTAATATTTTAACAAGGAAAGATTAACGGGATAGAGTCAGACGAGATAGTAGTACATTTTACACCACTAGACAATACTAGTCGCTAAATAAAAAATCATTTTAAGAATGAGATAAAGTACGAGAACGTGATAATATCTTATTATATTAGAAACAAAAACCATACTTAAGAGAAAGTATCACCATTTGTCATGTGGCATTTCCACATCATATTTTTAAAATAAATTTTTGTTTTCACATTTCTTAGACATAAAAGGCAAATGCAGTCCAAATTCACCCCCACCTCCTATTTTCGCCAAAAAAAAACCACGAGTTCATAAAAAATCCAAATCCTCATCTCCATCTCCATGACAATCGACTCCCTACTCAATCCCTTCTCCACAATTAAAAAAAAAAATTCCTCATCAATCATCAATTGAGGGTATGTGGTGAAATATACTCTTTTCCTATTAGCATGTTCAATATTTTCATTAGTGATGATCAACTACATCCTAATTGGATAAGATTTCAATTTAAAAAAATATTCTCTTTATCTCTTTATATAAACACAAAGGAAAAAAAAAATTCTCGTTGATCTTGCTTCGGCCGTTGTGATGATGGCATTACAGGTATTAAAATTTAAATGATTTTATTTCCACAGATCATTGGTTTGGCTTTTATTTTTTTTCTTATTTTTCCCATTCAGGAATAGTGTTATTACTGTTATTTTTATGCGTCCATCCGTTACAGCGACCGTAGCCATTGTCAGGTAATATAATGTGATTTCTTATTTGGTTAGTTGGCTTAGAATTTTTGTATGATTTTAATTATGTTTGGATTGAATTGATTAATTGGGTTTTTATTACAAAGTGTGATTTTTAAATTTTTTTTTTTATGTTTCATTCAATTAGAGTGGTTTTCTTTTTTTTAATTATCGAGTCTCAGGTTTTTTTTCGTATATGGTCAGTTATCAAATGTGTTTTTTCTTTGTTTAATTGATTTTGATTTTGTTTCATACTCTCAGTTGACCTATTATTGTTGTTGTTATTATTATTATTATTATTGTTATTATTATTATTATTATTATTATTATTATTATTATTTTATTTGCAAATGAAGCGCGATTTTTTTGTGTTCGGGGTTTCAAGAATATACTTTTTTGAACTTGGTTTTTGGATTTTTTTTTAGTTTCTCATCATATAAATAGTTCATGTCGCTTTTTCTAACTAATTTATGGGGAAGCCTTTTATGAATTTGAGGTGGAGAGAGAAAGAATGATGTTTCTACGTTTATTTGTGTTTTTATACATCATTTTTAGCTAGAGAAAAAAGAATCTCAAATTGTAATGGGTTATCTTTTACTTTTTTTTTTATTTGGCATGTTGAGGTGAGTTCTTTTTTGCTATATCTTCAAACCTATGCAAATTTACATTATTTTCATTCTCATATTTGTGATCAACCAGTTTCAACAATTAACCAGTTTCAAAATCATATTTTTTATATTTTACTACCTATAAACTTTTGGAAGAAATAGTTCCAACAATTAAGCGTATACCCGTTGGAGGAAGCTAACTACAAAGCTATTATAAATCTTCAAAACTAAGTATAAATTTGGCACAACCAATGGAGAACATCAATAAATTATCTTACTAATATTTAAACTTATTAGGATGTTTATATATTTTGTCTAGGATTACTTCAAGACATATATTTGATCAAGTTCATTTACATTTAAGAAGTAACACTTATAAAACATTTCTAAAATCTTCAAATATTTCTAAAATGTATCGGGCTAAATACAATTTATTTTTATGCCAAATACAAACATCACACCTATAAAATATTTCTAAATTTTTCAAATATTTCTAAAATATATTGGGCCAAATACAAAATAATATTTTTACAGATACAAACATTTCTAAGATCTACAGATATAATGCGCCAGGGTCGCACATTGTGCGACCAGACATCACTAGTGTATTGAGGAAAGAAGATGATTAGCTACAAGCCCACAACGAACCATCATACATATAATGCTTTCCCACACTTTAATTATTTCCCACAACTTACATGTTTTCAGTGTTGCTCTTTTTCTGGTGATGTTACGATACCATTTCTTAGGTTCCATCAAGAACGCAAACAATTTTTTTTTTCTTTTTCAATTTACATTTCTTACATTTCTTCTCCTGGCATAATATTTTAGAGTGAAAATCTGGGCATCAAATAAAAATCTTTGATATTTTGTAACAAAAACAATAACTAATTTTTTATGGATTAGAAATTAGTTGGCAAGAATGTTCAACATCCTCCAATGCATTGTATCACCAGCTCATTGAATTTCTTGAGAGATTTGCACAAGAAATTTGTTCTTTGTAATTAAAAGAAAGCTCATGATCACACTTGATAAAATATCATCACAATTTCAAGTAAATCCAAAATTTATTTCTTTATTTTTTTACCCCTGCTCATCTGAAACTGAACTACCAATGTAGTATGTGATTCAAAACAATTTGAACTTCACTATTAGGATGAAGCAGTAACCATGCTAACATTGTGCTCCTCCTTCTAAAACAAGTAGTGTCTTGTTTGTTGAACTAACTGAGAATAACAAATATGATTTTTATTCAGTACGAATGATTTATATTATTATTTTTATACAAATCAAAACTTTGTTGGAAAATGAAAAATCAATGCGTACAAATGAATCATTTCCTAAGCATTCTAGATGCCGTCATAGTAAGGAAAGAATGTAGAATTCAACCACTCACCCGCAGTAATAAATTCCGACGCCGTGAAATTCGACGCATCAAGATCATTCATCTTGTGATAACCAGGCCAATTAACACGATTATCAGTCACTGAACCGGGTCCAATGTTGTCATATTCTCCATAGTACAAACTCCTGATGCTATTATTGTTCCCATCTGACCAAGATCTCCACCCTTCAGGAGCAATGTGATCGTCAATATAAGATCTCATAATCACCGTTGTCGAGTAATTCTTCCACGGCCTTCCCAGAAAACTCCGAACAGTTGTCGAATTTTTGTCAAGCAAGTCGATATCCGGCAATATTGAACAGTTTTGGATGGAGATTCCGGTGTATTCATAGGGAGCATCGCGAGATTGGGCCGTGATCACTGTAAATTGATGAGGCATTGGCAATCTGGAAAAGATGTTGCATTCCTGGAAAACGACCGCGGCGTTTCCAAATATGAAGTCTATGGTGCCGTAGATGTCGCATTCACGGTAGAATTGACGAAATGAGTGGACGTATAAGGTGTCTTGGTAGCCTTTAATGGTGCACCTGTAGATTGCTGCGGAATCTGCATTGACCCGAAGCGCGACCGCCTGGTGCTTTTCGGGTCCTGCTGTGTTCTCGAACGTGATGTCTCTTGCCAAGAACCCCTCGCCTGATACAGCTGAAATCAATGCAAGAATTAATCCTTGTTAAAAAAGAAAAATAAAAAGGAAAAAGTTGCTAGCTAGTTTGAGACTGAAAAAATAGTTTTTTCTCAGCTTTTATCTCAAGAACAGAACAAGGTGACAATTTGTTACACGAAACCAAGATATAACATGACTTAGCAGATGTTGGTACTTATAGGCTAATGCCAATTAAGTGGTTAGATGGAATCTTACCTACAGTAGCAGATTTGAATGTAGTCCATCCATTCCCTACGCTTCTATTACTAGAAATGACAGTAACATTTCTTCCGTCCCCAATCAATACAATGTTAGGCTTTGAACTTGGAATATCCACGTTTTCGTGATATATTCCTTCCTTAACATAGATAAATATTTTATACATACTGTTATTTGGAGTGAACTTTATCGCATCAGCGAGCGAGGTAAAGTTGCCTGTTCCATCAATGGCAACAGTTAGCACATTGCTCGAATTATACTCACTATCCGAACCCTCCAAAATTCGCCGACCTTTAGTTGATATCCACCTCGGAAATCCCATTAAACGCCTCCTCATTTGGCTTAATGATGATGTGCCACCTGATTTGCTAGGAAGAAGTGATAATGCATTGCTAACATGCTTGTAAGCATTAATCATAGAAGTAATCAAAGGGAGTTTAGAAGAGCCAGAGGCAGAATCTAGGCCTTCTAAGCAAGTGTATTTGTTAGTCAGCGCCGCGCTAAGATAGGCCCTCGCATCGTCTAAATTTGTACTGCTGAGAATGCTGTTGACTCTGGAAACAGATTTCTTCAAAGAGGAAATTGTGATCACATGCAGGTCATTGCAATCTTGAAGTGTACCCTTTTGTGTTTCCACAATGTTGGGTTGGCTAATGGAGAAGTGATTTGACAGCTTTCCGGCTTCGGATAAGGCAGTTTGAAGTGAATGCTGAAGTAGAGCTAAATGGTTTGGACAAATGTTCTTGACAAAGTCCGAGAGCGTAAATGAGTCGTAACAGAGTTCAGGATATGGTGTGCTCTTGCAAAGGGATTGTATTGAAGATAAATTGTAACCCAAATCTGAAGATGGTGATGATGGTGAAGGAGAGCAATTGACAAGAAGATGTGTTATTACGAAGAAACTCGAGCATAGTATAAGAAATGGCTTCATGTTGCTGACCAAGAAGAAATTGAAGTCTGCATATCTGTGTTTCTGTTTTTGGTACCATATACTGCCAACTAATTCTGACCTAGTGGCCTTCATGCATGTAAGTTATTATACACATAAATTTAGTACTATGAACCTCAAAAAATCTCTTCATTGAGGTAAGGGTTAGGCCAACTTTTTTTCCACTTGATCATTCTGTTTTGGTGGTGCACACAATATGTACCGAGCAAAAGACTAACAAGAACAACATTCTTTTAACATTTTGTAAGGAGGTGTTAGCATCCTTGGAATATGCCACACTAATGGGACATATAAAAAAAAAATGGAGGGGAAGATTTTCAACGTTGCCGGCTTAAAGGTCTATGGACCTTTGACACTCATTGAACTGGACCATCGATTTCAATCCCACCCATGAAAGCTCTATAGTTCCAATATGGATCTCTTTAGAAGGTCTCCCCATTTATCGTTTCAACAAAGAATATCTATGGAAATTAGCTAGTATCATTGGAACACCTCTCTAAATTGATGTTCCAACTCTCAACATGTCACGTCCATCTGTGGCGTGAATTTGTGTCGAATTGGATCTTCTCAAGGAGCATCCTATTCGAATCAGGCTGGGCGTGGAAAGTGCGACTTATTTTCAATCAATTTTTTTTATGAAAATATGCCACAGTATTCACTGTAAGATATTTTCAATCAATTTTTTTTATGAAAATATGCCACAGTATTCACTGTAAGAAGATTGGACACGATCTTCATTCCTGTCGATACAATACAAAGGCATCATCTATGCCAAAACTTCAACAATCAAAGCCGCAATCAAAGGAGAAGGAAGCCGCTGTGCAAGAATTGAATAAATCAGCTCTGAAAACCGGAGAAAAACCTTTGGGAACTCAAGTTGTGAAGGAAAATCCATCAACCTTATCTAATGTTGCGCCGATTGTGGCTGTCGCAAACTCACCCGTCTTATGTTGCGCATGTTATTGCACTGGAAGTTGCATCGGGCATTGCTGAAGATGATCAATCGATGGAAGGCCGAGCCATTGTGGTTGCTGAGTTCAATCTCAATGTCTCTTCTTCTCCAGCGATGGTTGCTGCCAGCAAGGGTGGGGAATCGCAGATGGTAACTTCGCTTGCGGAGCATCATTCCCCCCAGCCGCATCCCCTTGCGAGCCAAACCCTCGCTGAGACCCAAATTGACGATGCCGGCAATAATCTGCGGTCATCCCCAGCCACAGCTGCTACAGTGAAGCAAAAGACGATCGTTTCCACCAGCAGCGGAGATTCAGAGTCGTCACCGGAAGCGCATCAACGTTCTCCTGAAAAGCAAGCATCGCAGGAGGTTGCCGCCACTGGAATCCATATTTGCTGATCTTTCATCGCCGGAAGGTGCATCAATGACAGAGGAAGTCTGGCGTACCTCCCTGGTTTCGCTGCCTCAAAATCCCACAATTTCAGATGGGACAGCAGTTGTCGCAGTCCTATTACTTCAGCGTCATCAGCGCAGCAGACTCCCTTTGACCCGGCTTGTTTAACTTTAAACGAGGATAAATCGCAATTAGTTCCCAAAACTTATCCGGAAGGTTCAGCCTCAAAAAAGAAGGGTTTAAGTCAAACTCTATCCAATCCATTCCTTTGGATAACAAAAATTCTATTTCTAAAAATAGCTCCAACAGTGTCTCCACAAAAAAATTAAATCCCACACCTACTGATTTTTCCTTCTCCCCTAGACCACAAGTGCCTGTTCTTCAAGTTTTACTTCCACCTTCAGACCCAAACATGGGGAAAAATCAGCACCAGTTTTTATCCAAGGATGATACGAAAGTAGGAATATATACCGGACCTATTAATCCTAGCTATTTGATTTATGAAATACATTCTGAAGGCAAAATTAATCATGTCTCCACTGGTTCTGATGATGACGATTTTGATATGGAATATGCGATGGTAAAAGAGTCCTTTTACAGTGAATTTTCTGCTCCAACATATCACAACCGATCGAAAAAAGCCAAGACTAAAAAGAAAGTTCAAGTTCGTCAGTCTGCTAGATTGAAAAAGGATTCAACTTTACGTTGCCCTATATTTTCCTTTATAATAAAATTGTTTTTTTGTTTTTTTTTTTTAAAATAAAAATGGAGGGGTATTATTCAATGCACTACATAGTACTCACTCCACTCTTAAGGCAATAATTTATAATGGATAAAAGGGAGTTGCACGTATTTGCATATATGTGGCTGGAGAGAATCGAAGTCGTAAATTCCTACTTGATGGGGCAATGGAGGCCCATTGGGCTTCGGCAGCCATGGCCCAAGATCCATGAAATTGAATTCTACCCATGTGCATCCATGTGCTCATGAAATATTCCATATTCCATATTATGCCTATAAAAAGAAGCATCCCAAGTCATTTTAAGAGAGTTCTTTCTCTATCTAGTTTTAGCACTTTAATACTTTTCTTCTTTCTCTATAAGTTCTGACTTAAGCACCGGAGTGCTAACCCTATTTTACAGGCTTTTAGGTAATTTAGGCGCTGTCCCGTGGGGACAACCAAGGACCGCACCATCAATTGGCGCCGACTGTGGGGACCGCTGCAATACACAGAGGGTGTCCCCGTTCCTTCTGTTTTACCTTTTCTCTTTTTTTTGATTGGTGCGCCTAGAACCCAATAGTATCTACACGGCAGAGGCTTGAGGAGCCTTGGAGCAGTCGCCCCTGGACCCTGTATCCACAAAGCAAACGGCCCCAAACAACAAGATGCCAGGCGCGGCCGCACTGGCTAGCCAATAACGGATGCTTACAAAGGGTCCAACTTGCAGAAAGAACTTGAAACATCATAGGAGAGCTGCCATTAGTCCACGAGTCGCCGGGGTAATCCCCGTGACCCTCTCCTCGAAGACCAGTGGTGGGAGTTCTCAAGGGCACACCCAGTGGTGCTGGAGCAATTCAAGGCATTCATTGAGTCGCAACGCGAAGAGCCGCGGGGTCGTGAGGAGGACGATCCGGAACGGAACATATAATACCTACGCACGGGTAGGGCTGCAATGGATCCAGGTGATCACCATGCGACGCGCGTCCCCTCCCACGATCGCCTTAGGCCGCGTCCAGCTGTAACTGATAGATTGGGACCTCGAGTAACGATCGGCGATCGTCTGGGAGCTTGCGTGCCGGAGGTCCCTGACAAGTCGTCGTCACACTAGTCAAATATTAATTACCTACTTAATACAATTACTAGTAGTAAAGCAAAAAGTAGGGTCGATCCCACAGAGAAGGAATACTAATTACCAGGTATAAATTACTCCTATTATTATCTAGATAAATGATGATCTCAGATTTATAAAATTGAAGACTAAAATAAATAAATAAAATAAAAGCAAATATTATTAATTCAAATAATCAGACAAAGAAAACCTAGGACATTGGGTTCACCTACCGAATATTTGGTTTAGTTCAATTCATAAGTATTTGACTTTTAACTTCCATTAATCTCACAACAATTCACCTAATTAAGAACTATTCACTCTCGTGTTATAATTCTCTTACTTAGATTAACCCTATGACTACTCTCGTGACTATAGGGATTAACAAAAGCACATTAAGACCATTAAGAATCAAATATTGCAAAGGTTATAATCTTACTCTCGTAGCTTATAACCTAAGTTTATTATTCCTACGAACTAATATTAATCTTCCACTCTCGCTACTTCGATTAATATCTTCAGACATGCAAATAGTGGCCAATTACTTACACGAATTAAAACAAGAATAACAAATATTAATTAATGGAAAAATCAAATAATAATGAACTAAATAAACCAAATAAATTCGGTGGCTACACCCAAGCCCTAGATTAAAAGAATTTAGCAACTAAACATTATCAAAAACAAAGTAAAATTAATAATGCTTATTGTCTAAATATTCTGAAAATAAAATAAAACTGAAATATGAAACCCAAAAAGCTTTTGCCGAAGTGACCAAAAGCTGAGAATCAAGTCGAAGCTGCTGATTGGCTCGCCGATGAAGGAGGAAGCTGCGCGAAGGAGAAGAAGAAGCGGCTGCTTCGGTGGTGCGGTCTCGGCGGTGAAGAGGCAGAGGTGGCTGTTGTGTGGGAGCAAGGTGGTGGAGAAATTGAAAAGGATGCTGCTGCGTGATGGTGATGATGGCTTCGTTGGTGAGTTCGGTGATGATGAGCTGCCGCTGTTGATGCTGCCGTTGAAGGAGGAGGGAGTTTGGTGGTGATCGGCGGCGGTGAAGAAGATGGGCAGAGATGGAGGTTCGGTGAAGGTGAAAGAGGGGGAAGGTGGTGGTGCGTGGCTGCCGTCGGTGGTTTTGCTGCGTGAAGGAGGAGAAGAGGTAGTTGCAGCGGCCGGAAGCGAGGAGGTCGGTGGGGAATAATTTTGAGCCGTGAGGTTTTCGGTCAGTTTTCGGTCCAGTTCTGTTGTAAAAATAAATTCCTAATCCTCCTTTTATAGGCTTCCGGCTAAACCCTACTTCTTGAAGAGCAAGAAAACTTCTTTCCCAAATAATATCGGGATTAAAATTCTTATCCAATTCTAATCCAAAATCAGCCGCACCATCATAACCTTCGGCCAATTTTCCAAAAATTAAACATTCCAAAATTGCATCATTGGCCCTCTAATTCTCTAAACTCATTAATTTCATCCCCATCAATTGCTCCAATCTTCAATTCTTTACCATTGAGTTGCTTTTAATTCGATTTTAGCTCAAAACTTCAACAATTCTTCATTTGAGTACAATTCCTACAATTAAAGATAAAATAGCATATTTGTACTCAAATATATTGCAAAAATCACAAATTAGGGATATAATAAATAGGTAAAATACAAGCATATCAAATACCCCCAAACTTGAATTATTGCTTGTCCTCAAGCAATCCCAAACATTAAATAAACAAAAACATTTAATTATTTAATTTGGCGGCCTCAGAGATTCAATCACATCATATAACACAAAGATTTCGACTACCTCTAGTATGGACTACCTAACAATGCAAACCATAGCTGCTTTTAACCCCCACGCTTGTGTGTGTGTGCTTCGTTTCTTAGGGACATCACTTTACATTTAACATAGAAAACAAAAGCTCTACTACAAATATGCCATATATTAACACTTCAACACAGATTCACATTTCACACCATATTTCAATGCAATGGACCACCAGACATGCTATAAAGTAGAAGGACTCATCTCACAGACAATCTATTCCCCCTCGTAACCCATTCTTCGGTCCATGCGACTTTTCTTCAGGACTCTTTCCAACTCAGGCCACTACCCAGAGCATTTTTCCACTTCTATACATAGTGGCTCAGCAACTTAGGGCAGTCTACATATCTATTTTCCTCACCGGGCCTGAGGACTCTCCGCTCAGGTTGCCAATTCCTCACCTCTCAAGGGGCTAGCATCAACATTGAATGCTTTTCCTTTTCTCCCTCATTAAAATTTACCTAACCTCAGAAGCATCCGCCAACACCCTTCCCCCAAACTTACTTAACATAAAGTGTCAAAGCAATAAGGTTTTTTAAGGCTCATATTGGGTTAATGCCTTGCTTTTCCTTCACAACATGATGGGTTCCACATACAAATCATATAAGTATGAGTGAATCAAACACAACTTTTCATGGCATATCTACATCAAACTTATGCAACTATATCTCACTTTAGGTTTATCCCACAGTCACGACTAAGTGCAAAAGAAACAGGGTATTCAAAGCAACATACAGAAATACATAAGTTAAGCAATACAATTCAAAATAGTCTAATTCTTACATGCTATAGATAATCAAACCAACTTCATCATAGGCCTTTTGGATTTTTCAATTTTTTAATTTTTATGGGTTTTTTATTTAAGAAAGATAAACATAAAATGCATTCCTCTCCCCCACACTTAAAGTATACATTGCCCTCAATGTATAAAACACAAAAGACAAGACAACCAAGTGAAAAGAAAAGAAGACATAAACAAAAAGAAGGAAAAGAAACGACACAACCTTGGGAATGTGAAACGGACGACCGGAATTGTTGAATAAATTGTTGCAACTATCAGCCAAGCACACGACCAACTTCTTCAAAATTTTGGATGTTTGATTTTCAGCACCATTGGACACCAGAGTTTTGCCCTTCCAACAACCTAATTGCAAACTAAAATAAATTAGAAAATCAAACCTAAACCCAGATGATTAAAAAAAATCACGAAAATCCAGAAATCAAAGATCTCCAGATAATCAGGAACAAAAAACTTAACCATCAACTTATTAATGAAAGAAAAAGAAAAATAAAGCAAAATAAAGAATTGGGTTGCCTCCCAATAAGCGCTTCTTTAAAGTCATGGGCCGGACTATCTGGCTGATCAATTAGGTGGATGCTCAATCAAAGAGTGTGAAACTCTTTCATACATCATTCTTCTTCCGTCTCCAACTGCACCTACATCACTGATACACTTGTCAGGAGGGTCATTAAAATTAGCAATAAATACATCATTTTTATCTGGCTCCTTAACAG